CCAAACAATGGGGGAAGGGGCGCGTGCTTCTCGAAGCCTAACCCTCGCGAAGTGAGAAGTGAGAGAGAGAGAGAGAGAGAGATCAGGAGGCCTTTGATATGCCCAGCCTCTGCATGGGAGCTCCTCGGGCACACCAGGGTTGGCACCAACACAGCATGTAAGCCACAGGGGCGCGGCGATGAGGCCGGGGTTGTTTACTGTTGTTAGTGTTCGGGGTCGAGGGTGCCAACCTGGAAACCGAGAGCATATCGTGCCGTCACTGCTGTAGTCATCAGGTACAGGTGCCCCAGAAGCCGGCCACTTAATAAATCCGGAAGTGGTCGGGCGGGCCAAGTGCCTGCGCGTCATGCATGACCCCTAAGCCCGGCATAAAGAAGAAAGAAGAAAAGAGATCAGGAGCAACAAAAGGCTACAACTTCATGTCTTTCCACCCGACGATACTCATTCGCATGCTTTCCTTTGCGAGCCCGAGGGCAGCCGAAACTTCTGGGGGCAGCCTGTTTTTCCGTGGAGTGCATTCAACTTCTTGCCACCCGCAGCCGTCGGGGGGCGCACAAAGCCCACGGTGGAGGGGGAACCCCTTCACCCTCGCCCTTGCGAAAGAAATACAGAGAGGGAGAGAGAGAAACCTAGAAAGATCAAGTAGCCCCCCAGCAAGTGACTTGCATTTCCGCACACATGATTGTGGATCCTTAGAGTCACTATACCAACCTTATCAAAGTTTTATAAACTAGGGGGAACCAATCAGCTTTCACACTCCTCCAAAGCCTCACAAATCATTGGGGGGGGGGGGGCCTTGTCATGCCCTGCAGAAGAAGAGAGAGAGAGAGAGAGAGAGAGAGATAGCCTTAGAGGGCGCGGGGATGAGGCCGGGATGCGGGCTAGTGTTCAGGGTCGGGGGGGTCCCTACCAGGCAATCTCCACCACTCACACATCCCACAGGGAACGTTCTCCGACCTTTGACCCACAAGCCCTTTCTACCACCAACGAAGTGGGGAGATGGGGGCCTTGGCCCGGGTCCGTGAACGCGGACTCTCCCCTCGCAGCCGAAGCCGAAGCCGAAGAGAGAGAGAGAGAGAGCGAAAAATATCGAGATCGATATAGAGCAGTCGAAGGAGTGATAGGTAGGTAGATAGGTGATAGGTAGGTAGGTCTGTATGTCCAAACACATTTCACACGTATGTTTGCAATACATGTGTCTTTAAAATCTATTTAGACACATGAACATACACCGGTGTTCCTGTAGCTAGGAGGCCCTGCCCCTACCTTCAACAAGGAGTCAAATAAATAGAGAGCTAAAAAAGAAACAGCCGTGGCCCAGTCGTGTCCAACACAGTCTCCATGCTCGAATGTGGCAAAAGCCAGGCTTAGCCGAGTCCGGGTCCTTGGTTTTCGATCCTTCGGCCCAGTCCATGGAGAAGGCCGAGAGTCAAAGACTTGAACAGGGCAGCTCGAGGACTTGGCGTGCATGTATGGTGAGAATCGTTTGGTCTTTTGGTGGGTTGGCAACTTTCAGCAATCGGTTCAGAGGCGCCGGGTAATTATGCATGATGGAGAGGCAACAACAGGATGACCAGTTCAACGAACAGCATATTGCGCTTAAGTATGGTTGGGACAACGAAAAGGTTGGCACCCATCAACATAGGGGGGGAAACATCCCCATCATCACCACCCTCAGCATCAGCATCGCCATCATCATTAGCAGCAGCACCATCGTCAGAACGATTTTTTCTGTTCACCAAGTTCACCACCACACTCATCAAGCGTCATCATCATCATCATCACCATGATCACCACGACCATCGTCGTCATCTCCGCCACCATCATCCACACCAATATCGCCGTGACCATCCTCATCATCATCCTCAGTAGCAGCATCACTATCACCACCATCATCCTTATTGGCTTCATCGGCTTTACCAGCATCAACAGCATGGGCAACACCAGCATCGTAGTTATCATGTGCCACCAACATCGGCATCATCGGTGCAACCGTCACCATCGAGGCGGTGATGCTGACCCATATTGATGATGGCAGTTGCGCATTGACATTGACGGCAATGATGGTGACGATGATGACGATGAGGATAACGAGCTCTGTCGACGATGAGGCCGGCAGGATCAGTTGAGGATGAGCTGGGGCAACGTGTGGCACGTGTAAACACATACGTCTGGCGACGACTGCTGTGACACCACCACCGCCGATGCTGCCGCTGCTGGCTGTTACTGATGAGCATGATGATGGTTGATGATGAGATTGATGGACAGAAAAACCGTTCTGACCATGATGATGATGCCAATGATAATGTTAATTTTAACGCTACGCCGCCCGCCTCGGCTGTGTAGCGGCAGGGCGAGGGGGCAGTCGATATTTTTTTATGCTAGGGCGGCCTGTCAAACCCCACCTTTACACGGTTGTTTACAAGGGGGGTGGAGGGGGGGGAGGGGGGGGAGGGGGGAGGGGGGGAGGGGGGGGGAGGCCAACAAATCAGGTAAAATGAGGGGGGGGGAGGCCTGGGAGGGGGGGGTGGAGGCCGACAAATCAGGTATATAAAATGAGGGGAAGCCGGGCAAGGGGGTGGCAAACGAACGCAAAAAACCCAAAGATTTGGACTGCAGGGAGGAGGGTACCTGAGGTAAGACCCAAGACGCCTGGGCCTCTGGCCTCGGCGGATTATGATGATGATGCTGGTACTGATAATGACGATGATGATGATGGTGGTGATGACGGTGATGTTGGGCATGGCGATTACGTCAACGGTTTGGGCGGCGGCGAAGACGATAATCAGATGACGAGGAAGAGGACAAGTATGACCACGACGACGGCGGGCAACATGATGATGACGATGATGCTGGGACTATTGCTTTTAACAGCGATGTTGTCGGCGATGCGGAAGATGATGATGTTGATGACGATGATCATGCTGTTTCGATGACGACGGTAATTGTGCTGATTCTGCGCTTGAGGGTTGTCAGGTCTTGGTGGCGATATAGATTCTTCGGTGGTCCATCACCATGCACGGCAGCAGCAGCCCAGCTCTACTACTCCCACAACCACCACAACGGCCGTCAGCAGCACCGACACCATTGCTGACACCATTACCAACATGAATACTGACACCATCACCACACCGGCTGCGGTAGCGGCAGCGGCAGCAGCAGTGGGGAGCACCCGGCGCCTCCAGCACCAGCAGCAGCAGCAGCAGCAGCAGCACACACCAGCACCACCACCAGCCACCACCACCGCCACTACCGCCACCACCGCCACAACGGGCACAGCCATCCAACACCATGCCCAGCAGCAAACACCACATCACACCACCACTATGATTGTGCCGCGGCGATGATGGTGATGAGGATGATGACGATGCTGCAAGTGCTGCTGTTGATGATGATGTTGATGAGGATGTGTACGAGGCTGGCGATTGCCATAATGAGGGTCATCAGCGGCATCCTCCATTCTCACCACGCGCCTCACCACCACTACTCTCCCCATCTCTCCCCCTCGTCATGCATTTTCATATCGTGTCGAAGCTGACCGAGATCGTCGTATCCATCACACTGTCCATCACTGCCATCTGCACCTTTCTGGCTCGTTATCATAGCCATGATCACCACAATTTCCTTTTCATCATGTTGGCCTCGTCCTCAGAGGGGATCTTTTCCATCGAAGTCCGAAGTCCCCGCCCCCCCTTAAGCCCTTGAACTCTATCGCTGTGATGGACAGATCTTGCCGCTGTCGCCGCGAGGCGCAGCGCCAAGGCCCGGCTCAAGGGTCAAATGGGTCAATGCGTGTGCCCGTTTGGGGGCTTGGTGAGATGAGATTCTTTTTGATTTCTGTCGACATGGCACAGTAGCTCGGGGAAGTGGTGATCGGAGCAGAAGTGAGAGCGTAGAATAGCGTAGAAATACAGGTGAGGACAATGAACGCAGTACTGATTGTAAGTAGGCACGGCATAACCAGGCGAAAACATGAGGCAATAGCGTGGCGGTGTTCGTAACTGCTAGTAAGAATGCTCCGATGGGAGACTTTGCCGGTCACCGTACTTGCAAGGCCGAGGTGCGCAATCTACCATTACCCCTTCTGTGTACATGTACACTATAATCACATGCTTCGTCACACTTACATACTTATGTTTCGTTCGAGTTTTGTGATGTTCGTGAGGGCTTTTCCGCACGAGTTGAATATACATGAAATTTTCAATGCTGACCTAAAGGATTCGAAAGATAATAGGAAGGCGACTGTGAAAAGATGAAAATACGGCAAGGGAAGAGTTGCAAGTCTCGAACACTAGCAGGGCCTGTTTGTATGGAAAAGTTAACAAAAGGTGAACAACACGGCAGACAAAAGGTTCACAAAAGCTATAGAAGGCGAGCGGAGACGGTGTGTCAACTTCTGCATCACCTTTTGTTCCACATCATGATCTTGACCTTTGGCTTGCATGCTAGCTTTAGTTCTTCATCCACTTCCAACAGGTACCACGACAAGAACATGGCAGGTCCTGTTCGTTTGTTTACTGTTGTCTTTCTCCCAGCCCATCAAGAGATGTATTTCTGTCCTGTCCGACTTCATTTCCGTGTTTGCATTGGCTGTTCCCGGCATTTCGTCGTTGGCTGCATAACCGATGCATTTCCGTCAGTTCCCGCTTCATTTCCGTGTTCTATCGAAATTATTTCATTTCGGCTTGAGGTCTCGGTCATTTCCGAATGTTTTGTGGTTGTGAATTTGATGGATCTGAGGCGTCGATTCTATTTGTTTTTTGTTCGTGTTCGCGCCGCTCAGGTTCGGTCTCAGTTTTGGCACATGTTCGTCGTTTCCGACTTCATATCCTGCTCATGGTACCTATGTCCGACCTCTTTCCCACTGGATTTCCGTGCTCTCCTATTTCAGGCTTCCTTATCGGCTGCATAGCTGCAAAACTGATGCATTTCTGTCTTTTCACGCTGGACTGGTTGTGTTGGTCTCGTTGTCGGCTTCATGTTCGCTCTTGTCTCCGACATGTCCGGTTTCAATGTTATGTCTTGTTTCAATTTTAATTCGCGTGCGAGACTGATGCATGTCCCTCATGTGCGATGCGAGCACGGAAATGGCGTAACATGATGCCGAAAATATCCGGTACAGTACAACCACTGCAAAGCCGGGAATGTCGCAAATGCATTAATTCCGCAACCGAAACGGCTGAGTGAGAAGTAGAAGGACGTTAGATCAAACACGGACCTGACGCGGTCTATTTCGGCCAAACAAGAAGCCGGAAAAGAAGCCGGAGTTGGCAGAACAAATAAGTTCTGCAGCTCAAAACGATGCGAGCCAGCAAAACAAACAACAATCAAACCCCACAAGTATTCTGTACGCACCCGGAAAATGAACCCGGAACTAACCCTCGCGGACATGTGACGCGACGGAAAAGAAAACGGACATGAAGTCGAAAACCCGAGGCATGAATGGCATGGACAGAAATGCATCAGCTTGCAGCCACAAGTGAAGCTAGTTGCAGCTCAGACTGACTGCAGCCAGAAGAAGTCGGTAGGAATGCGGAAAGTAAGCAAGACGGAGCCAGAAATGCATCACATCCACACTGAAAAGGATCCCGCACAAGACCGCGACCCTGATCCACAATGCAAGCGAGAGAAGTGGCAAATGATTGAAATGCATCAGGTGCGCAGCCAAGACGAAGCGGGAAATGGCCGATGCAAACACGGAAATGTTGTCGGACATGGCGGACCGACGTCAATCCGGCAGCCCCGATTTGAGGCCAACAATACATGACACAAACATGGAAATGAAGCTGTCGCATTGTTATGCTGCCGATGAAAAACGCACCGACTGACATAGCTTCCAACTTGCGAACTTTGAGGCTTCAAGCAGCCCTGAGCCCAAGACCCCTCAGGACGGCACTGGAAGGACAGAGTCGCTGAGGGTCAGTGAAGAAGACAGGGATCTGGAAAGGCTGCTGGAAGATGAGAGAGAAGCCAAAGCGGACAAGGAGATGCTGAGCAAGGAGCTGGAGGACAGGGAAAGGATGGAGGCGGAGTACGAGCTTCTACGAGAACAGGAGGCTCGGCACTTGCAAGAACAGGCTCGGGAACAGCAACTCCTGGAGGACCGGCAACTCCAGGAGGCAATGAGCCGGCCTCCGAAACGTCAATGTGTGCTGACTATGGAGATTGCAACTGGTTCGGGGGACCGAGCCCGGATCCTTCACACCTTTGCGGCGGAGGTTCCTGGTGATGGCTCGGCCTTGACTTTGTCTCTTCGGGCGGCCTACGAGCGCGACCAGGATGATGTCACTACGGTTGGGATTGCCACACCGGTGGCGGAGGATCATGCAGGTGGGGCGATTGGGCCTGGCGAAACTTTGGAGGCCCAGCAGTCTTCCCCCCCTAACTTGCTGCCGCACTTGGACTTCGATGAGTACCAGGCCTTGTATGTTGAATGGCGGGCCGGCCGGGCGACGTCGCAGACAATTGCCAGGATGTATGGAAACGAGGTCCTGGAACTCCTGGAGGCACAGCAGGCGGTGTCATGTAATGAGGACACAGCGCCAGAGGAGGTGATCCCACGGAGTCCTGCTATGCAGGCGGGCCAGCCGAGGATCCGCTTCAGTCTGTTCGAAAATATTTTCGGGCAATGGCGGTCGGGGTGGCGTTCAGATCGGATGATCCAAGAAGGATTCAGCCCTTACTGGCTCATGCTGTTCCGACTCTGGCAAGCATGGGGGTTAGAAGCTGTGGAACCCTATCTCGGAGGAGAACTCGATATGCGACAGGACCCAAGCCCAGACGAGCCAGACCCCCTCATTGTTGATCCTCCGCATGACCGAGAACCTCCTCGAGTACCACTTTCGTGTGTGCTGGTGACATGTGTGGAATGGAGTCGGGGGAAATCACCGACTCGGGGGTCCGGAGCAAACAGGGGACGGAGTGGTTGAGCCGTTTCTACCAGCTACGAGAGGCAGGGCTTCAGGGCTTGGCTACTGTTCTTGGAGGTGAAGTTCGGGGATGTCTCGGAGCAATATATCCAGGACCAAAGTGAGCATTTGAGCCAATGGGCGGGACTACCAGCACAGCATCAACAGGGCACGACACAAGAAATTTCGGGGGAGGTCAACGTGGACCAAGGTGCCACCCAGTTGACAGACGCAACCACAAGTCAGCAGAAATCCGAGAACTTTGATGTGCGATGTGAACGAGATGAGACCTGAGTAGTCTGAGGGTACCAGCCTTCCGTGAAAGCGGATTCCGAACGTTAGGTTGCAGCAGCACTGGCAGAAGGAAAAAGGCGTGCAAAAAAAAAGAGACCCCTCAGACAAAAGAAGCGAAAACGAGCACACCCATATAGTGGCACAGGATTAGCACGCGCAGCATTATGGATCACTAGGCCTTCCACTAGGTTCCGTGTATGCTGGCAGAAGTTGAGGCGATCGCCCGACTGGTTCGAGGATCGCATCGAAGTGGACGCAGTTTGGCAAATTGTTTCGGGCGCTGACGAATCGCGGAATGCTCATTGTCATAGATGAAACACCGAGATGAGATGGCATCCCCAAGCGACTCTGAATGCCTGTAAGACGAAGAGTTGCAGCCCGATTCGTCAGGCATGAAACCGTGAATGCGTGAAAGATTCATCCAGGAGCGAACTTGCTGGGACTTCTCTCCACAAGACGCGATGCACATCGGAGCCGGGGCTCTCAGCCGCGACGAAGCGACAAAGGTCTAGAGTGATGCTCGTGTAATGGGGAATCAGAAGTATCAGTTCTCTCCCAGAGTTTCTGTTCATCGCCCGTTTGTACTGAGAAGAGCGGCGCCATGTCCTCCTCATCACGTGAATCTTTCTTGCCATAGAACTCTCGGTTCCTGCACCTGATCTACAGGAACCAGATCTGCCTCTGCAACAAACTACTGATAAGCATTTCGTGGCAAACGGTGTCGGGTCAAACACTGGTGTGCAGCCTGGCGCATCCCGAACAGGTGCTTCATATCCTGGCATGAACTGCATGAACCCCCCGGAAAAGTAGAGCTGAGTGGGTGTGTCAGTGATTGAGCGGACACCAGAAAAACCAGGAAGGGGCCGGCAGCAAGACTAAGAGCAAACAAATGCAACAACAGTTTCAGACAAGTTCCTTATGGCTGCTCAGACTCAATCTGCACAATCAGCATCTCCTGCATAATACACGCACAAGGTTGTTTGAGGGCGGCACTTGGCGACGATGGCAATATCTTCAGAGTTTTTCTTCCATTGTTCGTTTGATTTGGTTTGCTCCCCTTGCCTGGCCACCTGGTTAAGGTCGAACTCGCCCGGCGAAGCCGCGAGGGTCCGGCTCGGCGAGTGCAGTCCCTGGATGCAGGCCGGTGGGTCCAAGGTTCAAGTGTTCAGGCATTCAGACACCCTCCTGTGGGATGTCGGAATTTCAGACCCTGGGAACTTCGGGGGTTGCGGCCGGATGTTAGCTGCAGCTTCAGGTGTCTAGACTCTGCGTCTGCGTCGCTTCCCGTAGTTGCGAGAACTGTCGTTGTCTCCTCTTGTGTGGTTGACTCGTTTCCCGGAGCTGTCAGTATGGATGAGCCCGCTGACAGAGATTTCGCCACGGAAGTATGCCAGTCAGTCCAGAAGGGATGTGTTATATATACGCTTTCATAATTTTGAGGCAGGCAGATCCTGCTTGATCACACAACAGTTGTACCCCCCGGTCTTTTGGACATGGCCGTTTGCAACGGCTTCACCTGTGGTGCTGGCTTTAGCAGTGAAGTAAGCGATGCTAGTTTTAGCTATAGCCTCAGCTAGCAGCACGAGCTGTGTTCGATCGTTTGAAGACCCATATAGTCAAGAAGGCACCCCGGGACTCTGAGAGATACAGAATCGAGCATCCCTAAACACCTGCCATGTCATAGCCCTGAGAGGCCGTCCCGGACGGGGCAACATAGCGCCTGCTGAGCGAAAGCAGGCAGACACACGTGTTCAACGCTCGCGACGAGTTGTAGGAACTTATATATAAATGCCCACATGTCGCTGTAGTTTTGCGGCTGCTGCCTCACCAGGATGTGGCGGCGTTAGTTCATGATGGCTCATGCTGATGATGAAAAACATCTCGTTGATGGGCGGTGTTGCAAGAAACAGGCAGGCTCCACCTGCACGCCTCTGTGATCTGGCCTTGAGAAAGTTCGTGATGGCTCATGCTGATGATGAAAAACAGCTCGTTGATGGGCGGTGTTGCAAGAAACAGGCAGGCTCCACCTGCACGCCTCTGTGATCTGGCCTTGAGAATGCTGTTCCGAAGATGGTGCTTGTGCCTGGGGACAGTACGACTGTTGCGCGCCAACGATTGCAACAAGCAAGAAGTACTCACAAGGCCGCGAGTTTTGCAATCAATCTTCCAGCACGTATGAAAGCATGAGGAAAGTGCTAGAAGGAAGAAGTCGGAAGAAGACACGACGGGTAACTCTTGAGATCAAAACTAGGAGCCAAAGGCCCCAAGGCCCCAGGGGTCTCCCTGCTCAAGGCGAACCTGGCCTCGCGACTCACTGGTTGGCGACCCAGACTGCCAGCCGTTCAAATTGCTGGTGGCTACCCTGTACAGGGGTAGGGCCTTCGCCCCTCGCCCAACTGTGGCCGAGGTTGACTCACCCTTCTGCATGGAATTCACGTGTTGAGACCTGGTCTACGACGGCCTCCGCTGCCTCTGCAAGAATCTTCGCGTCGTAGACACTCTTTCGGTTGCCTATCTAGTTAGCTTGTTCCATGTGAAAGCCAGTGCGCGAGTCCAAGCTTGGCCATGCAACTGTTCTTGAACGCTTCAGGCCCGCTGAACCTCAAGAGCCCAAACCCCTACACCTGATCCTCGAACACTTCTCCGATGTGCAGCCCTATGGCCGCAAAGGTGCTAGCCAGCCCACTGCCGCCGGGACGCCCAAAATTCCACTGCCTGCAGACAGCTGTGTGGTTTCACTCGAGTTAGGCTTGAAGTGAGACGCCAAAGGTGTTTGCCGCTGTGTGTCATCTGAGTTAGCAGCTCGCAGGCGTTCGCAGACAGCTGACGTTATAATATCGTATTTTGTTGTTCGCACGGGGCATCACCTTCACACGCAGGGATGTGCACGTTCGGCGATCGTCGCTGCCTTGTATGTCTACTTTCCTGGGTTCCTCACAAGAAGAATCTGAGAGAAGACAGGAAGGTCAAGACGCAAATGTCGCAGGAGGCAGAGACCCAGGCTCGTGTGCCTGCACATGCCCTGACAAGGCCGACTCACCGTCGATGGTCCGTCTGCAGCTGAGGGCTTTGCGCGGTTTGCATCTGGCCCTTTTGGATTCCACGTTTCGGACTCGGAGCTGCCCCTTGTAACTTGTAACAGCACTGGTTATGAAGTTATGACCTCAAAATACCTCAAAAATGCCAAGTCCTCGATGGGGACAATGTTTCAGTTTCAATCACTCGACTCATGCTCCCGTGACGTTCGTTGTGGGATACAACTCACCGCTCGTCCACATTCGTTTGTGTTCAAGCTGTGCTGCGATGCACTCACTTTGCTGCGAAAGCCGGTTGGCAAGAATCGAAAATTGAATTTGGGGCGACTCGCTGCTTGCCGAAAAACAAGGGTTGCCGAGTTTCAGAACAGATATTGAACACCTCCAAGGTGCAATAGATGCTGTGCCACCAAGGCCCATGCGGAAAATCAACATTTTTGGAGCTGAAATATCTGTGCAGCTGGGGCCATGGACGGAAAGTTTGACATTTTCCCGCAATGGGATGCAAGGAATCCTCGGTTCACGGCCCAGAGCAATGTCCAAAATACACTGCTAAGCGATCGCGATCGAACTGTAGCATACTGTAGCACCTTGCTGCTCATGCCCGGAGTTCGAAAATTGAATTATCCGTGAAGTCTTTGTCGGAAGTTTACGTCTACGGTCATTGCAGTCCCAAAGCCTCCTTTGACAAACCCTTCCTGTCATCCTTCAGCGGCAACCGAGCCTTCCTCCAGGAAGTGGCGATCTGTCTCCAGCCGCCCGGCCGACGCCCTAAGAGGTTTAGGCTTTGGACTTATGGGACTGCGGACGTCTGACTCTATCGGAAATCTATCGAAGGTTATTCACATCTCAATAGATTTACAAGAGCTTGGGCTTCCTAGTCCGACGATTCACCCTTCTGGTCCCAACAACACACGGCATTCTCAGGCAGCAAGAAGTTGCGTGCCAGCCTGCCAAGCGTTCATGTGCCGGCGCACTGATTCATACATAAGACTCGTGAGCTGGGCAAATGTGCTCAAAATGGCATTTGGTGGGTTTTGCTCGAGCAGACACCACGCCGACCACGCTGAGGTCTGCGCTTTCCCTCCTTACTCCGAACTCCGCGCGGGAGCGAAAGTTCAAGGATTGCCGGATATAGCTAAGCCCACACATGTCTTCCCAGTTGCAACATATTGATCCAGTGCTTCTTTCGTGGCCTTTGCTTAGTCTTTGCGATGAGCTGTCTTAGCACCGCCCAGCGGTTTTCTTGTGAAGTAAAGGTACCGGAAGATGCAAAAACAGATATTCTGTCAACCAGGCAGAAATTGTATTGCATCGTCCGTAGCAGAAGTGGCGTTCGGGAATGAGATCATCCATCATCATCCATCCATCTATCTATCTATCTACACTGTCTGTCTATCGTTCTGTTTGTCTCTCTCCTTCTGTCTCTGTCTCTCTTTGTCTGTCTGCCTGTCTGTCTCTGTCTGTCTCTCGGTGTCTGTCTGTCTGTCTCTGTCTGTCTCTGTCTGTCTCTGTCTGTTTCTGTCTTTCTGTCTCTGTCTGTCTGTCTGTCTGTCTGTCTGTCTGTCTGTCTGTCTGTCTGTGTCCGTCTGTTTGTCTGTCTGTCTGTCTGTTTGTCGGTCCATCCGTCCGTCCGTTTGTCTGTCTATCTGCCTGTCTGTGTGAGCGATGACTGTGATTCGCTATCCTGCAAGGATTGCACCGGGACGGATAACTCACCGGCTTAAGCTCTTCCTTGCCGGACCCAGACATTGAACACTCGTCGCATTTGTGGTTTTGCCACTTACGAAGCACGCAAAGCCGTAGCCTGATGAATGTACCATTGACCATGAACCTGTGTTGGTCAGGAGCTTCACAGCTCAGCCAAGCTGATCTGAAATCTACTGGCCTTGGAGTTTTGGAACCGGTGTTGCCGTGTTCTTTTGTGCATTGGGATGCAAGTGGGAGTACAGAGTCCGAACCAACAGCTTCCGGAGACGGGTTTGCAACTTTCCTCAACTCTGGGCCAGTGGAATAGATTCAAGCCTGCAGGCAGAAAACATCCGAGCCTGTTCCATTCACCTGGCTCTCATCCTGAACTGTTGTGCGAAGCTGGATGCGGGGCCGACTTGAATATCCTACTTAGAACGACCCGCGATTGAAAGAGGATTCGGATCGAATTGGCCAAGTTTGCTGAGATAGGCAGGTGAAGCTTAGGAGAGGCTTCCGAATGGACATCAGCACTCTGGGTCAGTCTTGTCACAACGCCACCACCAACACCACCACCTCACCACCACCCCCACCACCACCCCACCACCACCGCCACACATTGAGTGTAGTGGTGCAAAGAGCGGGAGTCGACCTCCTTGGAGCCTGCTATGCAATCGAATGCAGTCCGGCTCCCAGCCTATGCATGGGCGGGCAGCTCTGCAGCACGTGGCGTTGGCCTTAGCAACCCGTCCATGATGGAAAGCAGAGCTCCGCATGCCGCATTGATGCTCCGCTCCGTGGCTCCCCCGTAGACCCGTCTTCCCGCTGGGGACAGGTGCTTACCGAGCTTTGACACGTGGCCTCAAGCAGTCACTGACATCCTCGGCAGAGGCCGTGGTTGGTAAAGATCTCTAGAACAATTAGCCAAGAAGCGGGCTTCCAGCTGCAAGAAGAACTTCAAGCTCCGACCGTTCCATAAAGTCTGCCGAAGCAGATTGGCTCAAGCTTAGCAATGCCAGATAGCTCCAGGTCGTAAGCGACCGACAGCTTCCCAGCAAAAGCGCTGTGGTTTGCGTCAGCATGCTGCAGCTCATGACCAGGGCGACGGTGGCTGCAGTGCAACGGAACACCTCAGTGGTAGCTTGGACGGCCTTTGATCTCAACATCCTGGACATGGCGGCATGGGGCGACAGCCATGCAGCAGCTCTGGGGTTGGTCAACAGCATGGATGTTATCTTCCCAACGGCTTGGGAAAGCCACGACAGAACCCAGGCGCGCTGTATGAACAAAGCATATATTAGGGGGATCAGTGTGGCCAGCCTGTCAGAGTAGCAACAGTGTCTTTCCGCGCGTGCGCGTTTGGACACTGGGAGCTGAAGAGCTTACCAAACACATTTTTTATGAAAGAATAACCCCGACTTTGACGGTCAGCCACGCCTACGTTTTTCATGCCAGGAAATGATTTTCTTCAGATGGAACATTCTGGAGCTGCTAGGTGCCTGGATGGACTTTGGATGGCGGTGGATTGACCACCTGCCGACATTCACCTCCCGTCTGGTCTGGCAGTTCCGATGCTTTCGAACGTATGTTTCAGGTGTGTTCGGTTAAGAACAGAAAGCACATATGCATGCGCTTAGCTTGTGGTTTGCCCTCAAGCCCGAGGTTTTATTGCTGCTCGCTTCCTATACGCGTGTACATTCTGGGCATCCACCGGATCTTGTGGCCGATGCTGTACGGGGGCCTCGCGAAGAAGTATGAGGTCGCAGAGCCATACCGACAGATTCTGGTGCCTGATACAGACCTCCCCCGAATCAGCACGCATGCTTTGGTCAGGCGGGTGTCGCTGCTGCAGTCTTTGAGCGCTTGTGACAGAGAATGTTTTTTGGACTTGTCTTGTGCTTTTGCTGCCCTGGCGCTGCAAGCGGGTCAGAGGAAGCAAGAAGCCGATATGTACCGATATCTGTGCGAAGTTCAAGCGATGCTTCAGTCAGCTTTCTGCGAGACCCTGCACGACTGCATGCGCACGCATCCGGCAGCAGAGCTTCTGCGTACAGCCGGTGGCTTCTTGCACTTGATAGCTGAGCTGCCTCTGGTCAACATCAGACAAGTGCAGCTCTTAATCGACAGCACCGAAGCGATGCGGAGCACTGAGTTTGAGCAACTTCCCATAGCCACACCGCAGACGAGTAACGAGCACCCCAAACCTGTTGTGCCAAGCCCTACCGACGAGGTTGAGGCCGAGTGTATAGACAAGAAAGACATGAGCCCAGTAAGTCCCGCGAGAATCTTGAAGCTCTACAACATGCTGAATACAGTAGGCCAAGTCCTTTCCAAGTTTGGTGTGCAGTGGTTTGTATCACACGGCACGCTTCTGGGCGCAGTCCGGCATGGAGGGCAGATCCCACATGACTGTGATCTGGATTTGTCTATGTTCTCCTGGGATATTCACAAGTTGCGCAACGCATCTTTGATGCTGGCTCTGCAGCGGAACGGCTACTTCATGGATTATTTGCCTGTGCAGCACTTAATCACCATCTGGCGCAATGTGAGGCACTCGGAGATCGCGACTCGTGGTGTGCGTGCTGTCAACCAATTCAACATATACACTCCTATGTTGCACATCTTTGTGCTCTTCGACTTTCAGGAAGCAGGACAGTGGCAGTATGATACTGACAGGCTGAAACACGCTGGCTGGCAAATGTCGCAGCAGGACTTGCTTCCCTTGAAGTCGCACTCCTTCGGGGAGTTTCTTGTTCCAGTCCCAGCACGACCAGAAATCTATTTGGACAAAATGTATGGCCCGGATTGGCGATCTACTGTCCGCTCCATGACAGCTCTGAAGGCTTATGACTATTATCCGCCAACGGCACTGACAAGCGCCGGCCCGGCCCAGCCGACGGGGCCATTGGAAAGCGTTCTAGACTGAAGGACTGAGCTTTTCCATCGGCATCGGTGAACTGTAGTTGCGGCTATATGCAGACGACGTAGAAGCCTTCTACTGCCTCCAGAAACTGCGATGCCCTCTTGCGGAATCCGGAGCTGAGCAAATCTTGGTAGACAATCATCAGTCCCCGTTCATGAGATCCTCAGCAAGATCCCTTGACTGGCGTGCGACGAGATCTTCGTGTGGCAAAATATGCTGACTATGCACCATTACAGCAGTTCGAGAGTGAGATGAAAGCGGCAGGGTTGTTTTGCACGGCGTTATCTGTTCCCACCGATTACATGCGTCGGCAGTGTGCAGCCGTCGGCCCCGAGGCAGCAACGGTCAGTTTGCATCCGACGTGCAAGCAAATCACGGACACGTAGGTCTGCCATCTCCAGCAAACAAAGTCATGTTGTTCCATGTCATTCAATCTTCGTACTTTCGGCAAAGCGAACTGTGTCAATCTCTGGAGAGATACTTGCAACTTCAAGCCCTGATGACACTGACTGACATTCAACAAGCTGCACACCATTGGCAGTACCTCCCGGAAGCCTTTTTGTAGTTGTGTTGGGCCAAACCGCCCATGGATCCCAGCGCTGGGAGCCTGGCTTTAGAATATTCAGGGTCCAAACACTCGACGTCTTTCAACAGATTCGAACGGACAAAGGAACAGCTTCCACAAGAAAGGAAGACCGCAGTTTTGACACTGCATGAATTTGCTTCGATTCGAGAGCCTTCCAGACAAGTCAGCACGGCACCATCAGCAGCTCACCGAGAGGTTTCGTGATCCGTCATTCCCCATAAATCCATGCCGCAGGTGCAACTAGCCACTACAAGATCCCCAGCCTGGCCTAGGCGCACTCACAACGTTGTCGGGGATTTTGCGGCTCCAGGGGTAGACGGTCAGCCCGCCGCATGCGGGTGGTAATGCTTCCTCTTTCATCCAGCTCGGAAAGAGGTCAGCATAATTTCCGGCGGTATGCCTGCCTGGGCTACACGTGACACCCCACTCAGAGGACGAGGAAATTCCTGCGCAACCCCACTGTTTAGCCGTTTGCCTCAAGACTGCTAGCGGCGTGCGGTCTTGGCTAGGCACCCTGCATGGACCTACGTTCAAACATTCAATGATAGATAATCTCCAGCCTCCCAAAGTGGTGTGCAGACTTTGGGTTGAAAGAGTCGTCATGCAGTTTCGCCTGCCAGTTTTGCACCTGCATCACTTAGGAAGAGGGCGGGATCTGTAGGAAGTGGACCATGGCCGGGATTCTTCGTCGTTTGCTTTGCGCCTTAGGCGTACACAATGTAGCGCGAGCTTGTCCGTTCGCTCAGATGCTCCCACCTAGACTCAGGATACGGGCACGCACTGCAGGCCTCCGGTGAAGGGGAGAGGTTGAAGCAATACCACCTGTTCTAAGAGCGCGTGGGTGTTCGGTGTTACGACGCAAAGCCTGGGAGTATCTGGGATTTGCAGCTTGAGAGCTCGACAACAACTACACACCTACGTTCCAGCATCCCATTTTTCGCAGGCACCCAATCTGAATCGCCAGTTGTTGCTCCTCAGGGTTTCGGTCAAACCAAGCTCGGACTGGACTGATGACCTTTGCGGCTGTTCTATGGACCTGGGCTGTCAGTTTGCTAGAGGCGCTGTCCCAACATGCCTCAAGCATGACGTGTATCCTTAACTGTTGTCCTCTTCAGGAACCGCTTGTGGCAACGATCCAACGGGGTTCGAATCTCGCCCACAGCCCGAGCTGACAGAGTTCCAAGATTTGGCTGGGCTCAGGCTGTGGATGTCGGTGGGTAGCAGCTAAAGTGGCCTCCAATTGCACCAGGTGCAGGGGCCTGCTTCAACAACCACAGCTATCTTGACCAAAACACCATTAGCCGTCATTAGCCTAACTGCTTGACCTTCAACCTTTCACAACACCCCGTTGCCGGGTCTGCACAGGATCATGGCAGAGCCATGGTCGCCGGGCTCTTGGCACACGCCTCGAGCAGGTGCCGAGGAAAACACGAGAGCTTTGTGCGGGTTTGCCTTTTGAAGACTCTGTAATGGTTGGTTGGCCGGGTGTAGGCTTAAGCATCAGGGTTGTACAGCTCAGCGCAGGGCTTGGGTTCGATCGATTTGACCTGAAGAGACTGCCACAGCCGATCCAAAACGGGCTTGCTGGACAGAATGGGCAGCATCTTCTCATTATTGGTTTTGAAATTCAGATGTGCCCCGACATCATCCTTGTATGCATCCGGATACTGACCAGAGCCAGTACAACCACAAGTTTGTGCGTCCCCAACAGCATCCAAAAACACAACGACGAGCAAAAAGGTTGGACTGCAACAGCAACGCTAAGAGCAAGAAGTGTTGTCGTCCTCGTGGACTGTAGAAGTGGTGGTGTTAGTGGCAGCAGTGGCTATTGAGTAGCAGTCCTTTAATCGTCCAGGATGTTAAAGACACACACACACACACACATGCACGCAAGCGCACACACACAGAGACCCGCGCACATGCACAAACACACACACAGAGTCTGAGCTGGTTGTCTTTTATCATCTTACTTCAGGCCGCGAATTGGTGCAATCTTCAGACAGATCCCCGCTGGATGTATTCAGAATCTTCGAGATTTGTACAGTCTTCACGGAACGTCTTCAGAAAAGATTTGTCTTGGATTTGGGGTGTAGTCATTGAATGGTGCTGTTGATGTCGCACACTCGTTCTTGGCACATTTTGCAATTACCTGCCAAGGAGTCCCTTGGCACCTCCCCGTTTGCTCACTCGCTTCGAGGGACGCAGTCGTCGCGCACCCACACACGCATGCCCACGCACACACAAACCAGGCAGCAGTGTGACTAATTACCTAATCCACAGAGGTGTTCTTCAGGATTTCGTGGAAGCTGCAACGATACATGTTATTGCTGTCCTGCTTCTCGTCATGCGTACAAGCCTGCCGTGTGACTCGGAGTTGTGTGGCTCGAGGTGTCATTTTTTCCGGTCGTGTAGTCCCTTCTAACAAATCATAGACAATGCTCGGACTTGGACAGCAAACGCTCGTGCATGTTCCTGCATGTCAGCGCCTTTGTAACGACCGCATCCATTCTAGAGTCATGAATTAAGCAAGACAACGCAACCACTGTGAATGTGGTTGAAACCGCTTCAGTACCTGCGGTCTCGCGATCCAAGCGATGCTTTTCGAAGGCAATGCCCAAGTTTTCAGTTTTTGCATCATCATCATCATCTGCACGTTTCCTCTTACTTGTGAGCATCTGGCCCTGGATGAGCATTGGCAGAGGCAACCAAGATTGTTTTCGTGGGCAACCTGGGCTCAGCTATGAGACATGCTGCCAGGAAAGGTGGCAAGAAGAACTTTGCTGGGGTGTCGATGTGGAAGGGGTTGGAGAATATTGCTGTGAGCGCGATGACAGCTCATTGGTCGAAATGGAGCTGTGGAGTTTAGTTGGCAATATTATTGTGGAGGTTGCGTCTGCTGTGGACTGTGAACTGGCAACCTGGCAGGATGGAACATCTGGCAAGTGTGAGAAAGCTTTGCTAGGCAAGCTGGTTCAGCTAGACGTCGTTGACGCGAAGTGGGTCCACAATGTGTGGGCTGCCGCAATGAAAAACAGGACCGGCAGAACTTCTGTCGAAAGGCTTCACTTTGCCATGCTCTTATGCCAGACGTTCCTGCATTCGCGAACTGCATCATTCGTGCAAGCTTTTGAAAATGATTTGTTGACTCCGCTTCGAGTCTCGCATGCCGCAGGAGCTGACGAACTGCGTCGATATTCATTGCTTGCTACAGCTAAAAGTTGGGTCAGGCAGCTGGCCGTTCTTAGGAGTGCGCCACGCAACCTCGGCGTTGTTCACCTTGCTCTTGTTGCATCTGTTGGGGAGCCGGTGTTCGCGTTTAAGGCCATGGCTACAATCCGGTCCGCATTATTTTTCGCTCGACGCAAGAAGTTGCACTTCCACCTCTTTGTGGATGCTGCTGGTGAAGAGGCCATGCGCTACTGCCTGGATGAACTGTGGCAGCATGAGCCCATTTTGGCAGCCCGTGCTGCAGCCTTTGAGCTGCACGGAGAAGCAGTGCTGCACCATTTCTTCAAGCTCCTTCGAGCGAGCATTGTACCCGCATGTCTGGGGCAAACAAAGCATTTTGGTGATGCCGGCTGGATTAGACTTTTCGTACACGAGCTCCTAAGAAGTCGTCCCGAGGTGGACTTGCTAGTGTTTGTAGACGCTGGAGATTACGTATTTCTCAAAGATGTGTCGCAGATCCTGATACAGCGACAGCATTTCCGAGCATCGCAGCTTGCCGCGTCGCCGCGAGGCGCAGCAATGCCGTTTCAGCTCTTGGATTTGCAACGCATGAGGCGCCAGAACTTTACAAGGATTCTTTCAGAGGCCGTCCGGGAGGGCTTCGAGTCGGATGGTCAGTTTTGCAGCCTTGGGGAGGGCTTTGCCACCGAGCGGCTTGCTTCAAACGCAAGGCTTTGGCATGTTTTCGAGGAGCCCTGGGTTGTCGACCCCCGGGAACACGGAGGTGTACAACTTCGAGGCGGGGGCGTCCACAACGTGTGGAATAATGAAGTTGATGGTGCGATCTGGCGAGATCGGGTCTATCCAGGGCTCTTCGACTGGACTGTCTTGAGAGTACATTGCCCACTCTTTCTGGAGAGCTTCTTTGCAACGGCCTTGCAAGGGAAACTGCCGCCAAGTCGCTCACAATACAAATTTCTTGGATGGGCAGTGGGCTGGTATCATCTCGGAAGCATTGGCAACTGGACGTTGGAAGAAACGGGCTTACTGGGAGGAGATCACAGCTTTGTCCGTTGCAATGAGAAGGCGTCGGGTGTGCATTTTACTTCGACCCTGAAAAGTGTCCCGTGGGCCAGAAACTTCCTGAATTTCTGGTCCGGTGCTACAGAGCTGGGTCGCGACGGCCCATGGGGCGAAGACGAGCAGGACTGGCTGCAGCGCTCACTGACTTCGGCAGCGACCTTTTTCCGCGCCGAGGAATAGCCGCTGAATAATCAAACTGCACAGTGATTGCGGCATACGCTGAATTGCAAAAGCATCGTCGTGACTTGGTTTATCAATACCGTATCAGTGCCTGAAACAGACTGAAGACTTAAGCCCCCAAGCCAAATATCGATCCCAGCTTGCAGCATCGGTTTTGTGAGTTTGAGTTGCCGCATGCATGCTTACATGTCACTGGTTGACTTCTTGTGCACATTAAATCTCCGCGGCAGCAGCCACATTCTTTCACAATCAGTTTGGAGCGATCCTCAAATGTTCCAACACACGGAACAAACTGCCCGGATGGCCGGTTTGGCGCGCCTGGGTGTATGCAAGTGCAACTATACAACTTGCACACCTGCACTGGTGTAGATAGCATGGGCACGAAGTCCTATAAGTACTAAGTACTGTCTGCAAAACCCTGTACGTGGTCTTGATCCTCCAAACACCTGATGCACAAGCTGCTCCAACGCCTGCTTCGTTCTCAGTAGCTCATGGTGTGCGTATTTGTCGCAAAGGTATGGTGCAGGTCACGTAAGAAGTGTTGACGATTCCAGCCGGCGCCTGAGACTCCGAGCCTCATGTCTGTGTGTTGGTCGGAGTTTGTTGTCTCAACACCCCCTTCAGATTCCTGGCGTGTGTCGTTGCTGCGTGTTCACACTCGGGATAAAGTCCTTTTTCGCCCAGGAAATCGAAGCTGACACGCCTGGGCTCTGTGCCGATCCGTAGCGGAGAAAATCGAGCAAATGTGCCGACGATCCGGTTCAGGACGAAGCGTACCGGAGCTTCGAGGGTGCGCATTCATGAGAGCAAGCAGAAGGAGAGCAAGCGAGCGACGGAGAGAGGGATGCACAGAGCAAGAGGACTAAACCGAGCAGTTGGGGGACTCACGAGCAAGGCACATGGCACAAACCATGGTGCTGCCTGTGGACACGAATGCCATCCACTGGGGACGGGAGGACTGAGATCGCCGCGGTGCACCTGTGAACTGACTTTACATATTCAGCACCAGTTCAGCACTTAACGTCCTCGCCGTGCATTGATTCTCAGCGCTGCGTCATGCATACTCCTTGGCCACCTTGAAGGACGTTCTACTTTCACGACAGTAGACCAGTCCCAGCAGCCCAGTGATGTGGTGCTGCTTCTAGTGGGACCCCCCAACCATTTCTCAGCATCCTAAATCATGTGTTGCCCCTGACCCCCTGACCTTGCGTCAGTAAGTTTGGGTGTGGGTGCGATTCGCTTGAGGTCTGGGTGGCCTGCTGTAAATAGAAGGGTTTTCGGTTTGGCAGGTTTCGGGCGGGCCTGGGATGAGTTGGGGTCTAGGTGGGCTTAGGCACTTAGTCATCCTCGATCATAAACTCTATAAGGCACTTATAATTAGGCCCGTAATTATTTAAGGGCTATAAAAGCTTCCATAAGGGGTTGAATACGAAGGATTGGAGGGTGCAGTTCTGGGGTGTGGCGGTTCTGAGTGCCTTAGATAAACGCTTCTGGAAGCCCTCCTACAAAACCCTTCTACAAACCCACCGGTAAACTGTTGCATAAGCCTTCCTACAGACCTGCCTGTGCAACTTAAACCCTTTGTAAACCTTTTCCATGAACCCAATTGATGATTCAGACATGAACGGCAACGTGGCCACAGCCCAGGGGCCAAGCATCCTCACGAAAACCTGTGCAAGGCAACTTCAAGACATCACATCAGCAGCATCACACAACCTCCGCGGAACCCTCTGAGGCAGCATCAGGCAAACCCAACCTTACGACAAGAGACAACCTCACATCAACAGCATCATGATGCCATGCAAAGAACCTGATCAATAATGCCATCCCATATGCCTCCACAGAAAACCTTCGCCACATGTTCAGGAAGTGTTGTATCAGATTTTGGTGTTGAGCAACTGTGCGACCTTGGCGAGGAGCATGCATGAGTGCCGGGATGTATAATTCTTCAGCCGCAAAAATGGGCTCAGGTACTTGTTCTAGGAGTTTAGGGTCATGCTAGGAATTCCTGTTTGTGTGTTGAAATGACGCCCAGTCAGCGTTGGCGCTTGAAAGAATCGTATGCGTGAGCAGAGTCTGAAGCCGGTAGCGCAGAACCTGTAAAGCCTTAGCGCGGATCCCAGACCCACTAATGAAGCCCCAAAACCGATCTCAACCTGAGCCTCAAGTGTCGGAGGCAGTAGCTGCATTCCATGAGTTTCGGGCGTGCAGTTTGGTGCAAAGCGTCGTCGCACATTTGTGGTATCCATGGCCCTGACTCGGGCAGGGGCTGCTGTTGCCGGCCTATGCGCGCTGGGTAAGCTGCCTTCGGCAGCTGGGGGCCTTGTGACTTATTCATGTGATCCCTGGTGGAGCTGCTTCACCAGCTCAGAAGAGGAGGAAGACTGCTTCAAAGGGAGGTCGGAAAGTTCATGTTGCAAAGCTTCGCAGCTTATAGGACGAATGATGGACGTGGACATGGAGGGAGATAAATTCGTCGACCCGGCTCACATGCGAGATGTCTGCCTCCAGTTGCTAGAGTTTCCCAGGGCTTCTGATAAGGTGGAGGCACATCTAACGAAATGCTCGCGTGGTTTCATTGGAAATGCAATGCTGTCTGGCGTCGTACTTTCCCTTGCAGAGCCTGGCAACAACCGAACATGCTCGAAGGCATGGATGCGGGCCAGATATCCAATGGATCCTGCACGAGAGAAGTCCGACTACGATTTTGGGTGGTTCCGACTGGAGCCATGGCACTCCACTTATTTTCACCACTTCCAGGCACCCGTCGCTTCGATGTTGGAGTCGCTTGCCGAGCACACGGTTATCTGCAGAGGCCTTGGCCATGTCTGTTCGGCTTTCAATCCCTGGGAGCCGAAAGTCTGTGTTTTGTCGCGATAGAGCGAAGGTTCAGGGCAGGGGCAGGTTCTAGGTGGTATGGGAGATTTTTCAGGGGCCAATCAGTGGCTGTCTACATTCACGGGTTGGGGCTCCGGGTATGTAGTTTAGCTTCAGAAGTCGACGAGTCGAGGCTTTACAGGTTTCTCCTCGAGTGGCCTAAGAGAGTGCCGACTTTCTAAATCACATTTCAACGAAGAGGCCTCGCGTGATACAAAAGAAGACGGACAACATCATGGGAAAAAACGAAGCTTGCGGCTTCCCCTGATCATAGTGGCGATGAGTTAACGATGAAGAAGATCAGGATGATGACGCTTAAGCTGATGCTGATGATGCGCTGGATGCGGCTGCTGATGCTGATGCGATGCTGCCGACGGTGGTGATGATGAAGATGATGATGCTGAGGATGCTCCTGCTGCTGCCGCCGATGCTACTGGTGTTGGTGGTGCTGATGTTGGTATTGGCGGTGCTGCTGCTAGTGCTGCTGCTGGTGGTGTGTTTGCTCGATCATGGTCATGACGATGATCATGGAACCAGTGGTTTGTTTTGCTTTTGTTGCTTTGTGTTGTTTTTGTTCTCGTTGCACGGACCCAGGAAGCCAGTGAGTGAGTGAACCCCCGTTCCCGCAACGACAGCAAAAACGGGCGCCCCGAGGGACGACAGCACAAAAAAAACGCCCCCCCACAACGACAGCAAATCAACAGCTGGCTCCTGTCGGTGTAAGAGTTTTTCTGTTGCTGTCGTTCTGTCTTTGCTGTCGTTGCGGCCGCTTTTCTTTCGCTGTCGTTGCGGAGGCGCGTTTTGTTTTTTGCTGTCGTCCCCCGGGCCCCGTTTCACCGGGAAGAGCAACGACAGCAAACAAAAACGTGCCGGGGACCGCAACGACAGCCAAAAAAAAGCGCGCCAACGCACCCCGCAACGACAGCAAAAACGCAACGACAGCACAGAAAAAGCACTCTTGGTAATCGTCGTGACACTAATAGTTGAAGCACTAGTAGCAGTATCAGAGTAGTTCCAACTAATTGTAGTAGTAGTAGCAGTAGTAGTAGTAGTAGTAGTAGCAGTAGTAGTAGTAGTAGTAGTACTAGTAGTAGTAGTACTAGTAGTAGTAGTACTAGTAGTAGTAGTACTAGTAGTAGTAGTAGTAGTAGTAGTAGTAGTAGTAGTAGTAGTAGTAGTAGGAGGAGTAGTAGTAGTAGTAGTAGTAGAGTAATAGTAGTAGTAGTAGTAGTAGTAGTAGTAGTAGTAGAAGCAGTAGTAGTAGTAGTAGTAGTAGTAGTAGTAGTAGTAGTAGTAGTACGTAGTACGTAGTACGTAGTACGTAGTACGTAGTACGTAGTACGTAGTACGTAGTACGTAGTACGTAGTACGTAGTACGTAGTACGTAGTACGTAGTACGTAGTACGTAGTACGAGTACGTAGTACGTAGTAGCAGGTAGCAGCAGCAGCAGCAGCAGCAGCAGTAGCAGCAGCAGCAGCAGCAGCAGTAGTAGTAGTAGTGGTAGTGGTAGTGGTAGTGGTAGTGGTAGTGGTAGTGGTAGTGGTAGTGGTAGTGGTAGTGGTAGTGGTAGTGGTAGTGGTAGTAGTAGTGATAGTGGTAGTGGTAGTGGTAGTGGTAGTGGTAGTGGTAGTGGTGGTAGTAGTAGTAGAGCAGTAGCAGCAGCAGTAGCAGTAGCAGTAGCAATAGCAGTAGCAGCCGCAGTGGCACTAGCAGTAGCAGTAGCAGTAGTAGCAGCAGTGCTAGTGAGCGAGTGCTATTCTAGTGGTAGTCGTAGTGCCAGTGGTAGTAGTGCTACAGTAGCAGGAGTAATAGTAGTAGCAGCAGTAGTAGTAGCAGTAGTAGTGGTAGTAGTACTAGTACTGGTACTAGTACTAGTACTAGTACTAGTACTAGTACTAGTACTAGTAGTAGTAGTAGTAGTAGTAGTAGTAGTAGTAGTAGTAGTAGTAGTAGTAATAGTAGTAGTAGTAGTAGTAGTCGTAGTAGTAGTAATTGCAGAAGTAGTAGTAGTAGCAGTAGTAGTAGTAGTAGTAGTAGTAGTAGTGGTGGTGGTAGTAGTGGCAGTGGTAGTGGTAGTGGTTGTGGCAGTAGTAGTAGTAGTAGTAGTAGTAGTAGTACCAGTAGTAGTAGTAGTAGTAGTAGTAGTACTAGTACTCGTCGTAGTAGTAGTAGTAGAAGTAGTAGTAGTAGTAGTAGTAGTCGCAGTGGCAGTGGCAGTGGCAGTGGCAGTGGCAGCAGCAGCTGCTGCCTGCTACCCTACTAGCTGCTGCCCACTACCTACTACAAACTGCTACTGCGATTATTACTACTTCTACTACTACTACTACTACTAGTACTACTACTACTACTACTGCTACTACTACTACTACTACTACTACCACTACCACTACCACTACCACTACCACTACGACTACTACTACTACTACTCCTGCTGCTGCTGCTGCTGCTGCTGCTGCTGCTGCTGCTACTGCTACTGACAATAATAGTAATAATAGTGATACTGATACTAATACAAATACTAATACTTATAGTACTGTTGCTACTGCTGCTGCAATGTTTCTGGCTGCATAAGTTTGCGTGAACAACTTTGGCAGTGCTTTGTGCAGCATTTCGTGGGTGTTAACCGCAGCTGTAGTGGTAGTAGGAGGAGGAGGAGGAGGATGAGGAAGAGGAGGCCGAGGATGAAGAAGAGGAGGAGTGGGAGCAGGAGCAGGCGCAAGAGTACGAGTAGGAGTATGAGTAGGAGTAGTAGCAGTAGCAGAAGCAGAAGTAAGTAGGAAGTCGCACCAGTAGTGTTAGTAGCAGCACCAGGAATAGCCGCAGTGGTCGGCGTCGTCGTACTCGTCGTATTCGCGGAAGTGGATGCAGTTGTGGTGGTGGTGGTGGTGGTGGTGGTGGTGGTGGTAGCAATAGTAGCAGTAGCTGTAGCTGCAGCTGCAGGATATGGAGCAGTAGCAGTAGCAGCAGCTGCAATAACATGCGAGAGCCATGCAAGCACCAATAATCATGAGCCATGTCTTCAGTGCTCGTGTCTTCCCTTGGCATTTGAGGTTTCGATCACCATCCTGTGGTTCAGCAATGGTCACCTCAGTGCACAGATGCTGGTAAATTCCAGATCTACCAAGATCGGACAAATCGAGGCAAGTTCAAAATCCTCAACATCAAGCAGAATCGGAGCACGGAAAGATCGGGGCGCATTGTAGAGGACTGGCTGGGTGTTCTCCATGAGGTTTGGGAGAAGCCTTATTATGATTGCCTGCAGCAAGCTGAGCTGACACGTTTTCTGGAGCGTGATGGGAGGCTGCCATGGGGGCCCTTGCCGGGGGAGGATTACTTTGAAACCATCTCACTGCTGGAAGCAGTCACAGCAGCGAAAGATGACTTCGTTGTGGTTGAAGCAGGTTCATTCAGGGGCTTTTGGGCCCTCAAGGCGGTAAAAGCCTATAGGAAAAAGTCTCCGGAGGTCGGTTCATGCCACATCGTTCTGATCGAGCCCGAGGTTTCCACCACGTCTACCATCCAGGGCCTGCTGCGCAATGATATGTACCGTTCATGCAATGTTTCCATGTACCAGGCCTTTGCTACCGGACCTTTGCTTGACTCCCTCTTGCGCGCATTCGGGAAGATCAACCTGGTGCATGTAGACATCCAGGGGGCTGAACTTGAGCTGTTGCAGCAGAGCCAGCTCTTGACCAATATCCAGCACCTGCACATTGGAACACATTCGAGCATCATCCACAGACACTCGAGAGCTTGGCTTGTGAGCCATGGGTTCACTCTTGATTTCGATTATGCACCACGTACCTTTGTTTCCACACCCTTCGGGCCAGTTGTGTTTGATGATGGTGTTCTGGCTGCACGGCAAAAGGATCGCCTTACATGTGAGTTGTTCTAAACTGGAGTTCCCTTTTTTGTGCTTCAATAGTGCAGATTCTACAGTTGAAGTTCGTGCCCGAAACGGAATTAGAACAGCCACAATGCGATCGAATGCTGCCGCAGCTGCGGCTACGACAACGACAGCTACTGGGGACACCGGCCATACTTACTTTAGCTACAGCTGCCGCCGCTGCCACTGCCGATGGAAAGACGCTGGTTCCCCCGTTAGCATCAACCATAAAGAAATGTAACAACCACGGTGGGTGCTCCAGCAGGTGTTCTCAAGCAGGAAGGACACGAATTTGGCATTGGTTTCCTTTTCGAAAATCATACATAGTGTATGTATTGCAGCAGTGCATTGAAAAATGGGGGGGCGGAGTGGCTCCCCCAGTATGTGGAGGTTCTGGTTCAGCGGCCCGTCAGAATTCTGAATTTGCTTGGTTTGCAAGCGGCTTGAGAACACCACTACGGGAATGGGAGTGAGCGGAACACGAGACACACCTAACAAAGGCCCTTCCGAAACACACTTCCCCCCTCCCCTGCTCCCTCAAACTTTTGACACGCGCATCCTCTCACTTTGTTCATCGTCTTTGGACTTGCTGCACCGCACCCCAACTCGGATTGGGTCGTAGTACCACTCTCCGAGGACTACGGCTTGGAGTGCGTGGTCGCTGCGCCCCCAGGTCGGTGCTTGAGCTGGTCGCGGGCTGTTCTTGCTCTCCCCCGATCTAGTCGGCGTCCTGAGTTGTCTCGTTGAAGCTGTCACTCCCCCAGTTCGGCTCGTCGTCAAGGTGGTTGGCAGAGCTCACGCCCGTCGTCGGCTCGGCTTCTCCCTGTAAAGTGGGAGTGCGGTCTTTCTCTTTCTCGTATTTCTTGTCCTCGGCCTTGCGCTTCTTGTCCTTGCACTGCTTTTTCTTGTCCTTGTGCTGCTTTTTGTCTTTGCGCTTTTCCTTCTTCTTGGTCTTCTTGTTCTCGGGGTTCACGGGTTCACTCCCCCCACGGGTTGTTTCGAGGAAGACCCGTCTTTCCCTCCCCACGAAGATTCGCAGCTCTTCCTCTATGCAGGGGTTGTTGTTCCCCACCAGCTCGACCAGCTTGTCGGCATTCTTGCCGGTGGCTCGCCTTTCATTGTGTCGCTGTACGTAACGCTTGTAGTCGGCGGTCTCCTCCTCCGGCAGTGGTTCCCTTGTCGTTATCCACCAGTCCAGTGGCCCTGGTTCGTATAGCAACGCCAGGCCACCTTCCGTTTCAAAACCGACAAAGCGGGCCCATGGTTTGGCCTCCCCCTCTCTTGCAGCTTCCCCTCCTTCGGTGTCCTCAGGGCTGCGGGTCGTTGCCAGCATCTTCTGCGCAGCTCCCCCGCGTCGGAGGTCGCAAGCTCTCCCCGTGCTGGTAACCGTGCCGTTGGCGATCATGGTCTTGTAGCACTCGGGCCCCTGCTCATGGGCTTTGTGGCAGAAAGGGCCTTGCAAGCATGAGTTGCAGCTCACCCACATCTCACGTAGGAGTTCTGCCAGTTTACATTGGTCTTCCCAAGTGGTGTTGACTTTCGCGGTCATTACCAGCACGGTTTGTGTTTCGTTGTTGCTGAACCAACCAGAGCAGGGAACCGCCAACTCATACTAGCCTGAAAGCGAAATCCGTCCACCCCAGAAGTGTTTTCAATTCTGGCAGTATTGGTCTGCACCTTAGCTGTACTGCTGGTTTGCAAAACGGGGGGGAACGGAGTCGCTGCCGTTGGACAGATCGGGGGATTACGTCCGAGGGTCTAAGGACTTTGCTTTAGAGGGCGCGGAGGCGAGGCCGGGAAGCGGCTAGTGTTCAGGGTTTAGGGGGAGTACACACCGGACGTTCCCTACATGTCACACCGTCCGTGGGGGAAAACCCCTCGCCACTGACCCCAATGCCCCTCTTCCACAAACAAGGAAGGAAAGGGGGGCCTCGGCCCGGGTCCTTGCGGACCTTGCCCCATCAGCAAGCGAGCGAGCGAGGGAGAGGGAGACAGAGAGAGAGAGAGAGACATCCCTGATAGAAGATTATTTGAGGCGCAGTCTGGGGGCGGGTGACAGAAGATGAACAGCAAGAACTTGAGCGAAAATGATTATGGGAGAGAGGGACACTGACAATGAGAGGCAGGTGGTTGTTTGTTCATGTTCCTCGTCAATCGTGATTGCTGCCTGTTCCCACTGATATGCGTCTGCAGTGTGCAGCCGTAGGCTCCGAGGCAGCAACAGTGAGTCAGCATCCCGTGTGTAAGCTAATCACAGACGCCCTGGTATGGCATTTCCATCATGCAGGGCCATGTTGTTTTGCGGCAGAACAAACGACCTGAAGCACTTGACACTTTGTGGCAAGATGGATCCTGAACTAGGTAATTGCAGCTTTAGTTCAAGGCTTTGAAAGATGTTCAGCAAAGCGGCACAACATCTGCAGAACCTCCCGGCAGCCTTCGAGTAGTTCTGTTGGGACAACAGCCCGTCGGCGCCGCTGGGAACCTAGCTTTCGGATAGGGGAAAACCATGGAGCTCAGGAGCCTCCACTTGGAAGACCGCATCTAGTTCTGCCACTGCTATAGTCTCAGCTGTGACTTGAGAACGTGCAAGTCAGCACGGCGTCACGGCGCCTTGCAGCGTTCATGATTTTTCGTTGTGAACTTCACATCTTGCCTGCGAGTGTAATCAGTATCGTGATGTCAAAGGTCTTTCCGTAATTCCATGCCTCGGGTGCAACTAGCCACAGCCCCACTGTTTTGCCGTTTGCCTCCAAACGGCCACTGCCGAGCAGCCTGAGCCAAGCACCCTGCGTGGGCTTACATTCCAACATCCTATGATAGTCTTCGTCGCTCTGACATGCCCAGCCTCCCGTATGGGCAAGTTGGTTTGCGGACTTGGGTTGAAAGAGACGGCCTCACAGCTGCTTGCCTGATGCAAGGCAGCGTCTTGAGTCTGCAAGTCATGCAGTCTCGCCTGCAAGGTTTTGCTTTTGCGTGGTTTTGGGAAAGAGCTGGACCTTTGGGGAAGTGGGCCAGAACTAGCGTTTTCCGTGGTTTGCTGTTTGTAAGCACAGTGAAGTTTCTTGTCCGTAAGGCCCAGATGCTTCCGCCTAGGCTCCGGGTGGTGGAACTGTTTGTCGTAGCCGAAAGCGCGTATTATCCAAGCAAAATTAAAGGATCGATTCCTCGACCAAGATGCCCAGTTTGGCAACCAAGCCGGCCGAGTAGCCCGTCAACCATATTCCACTGGGAAGGGCCGATAGTTCACCTACATTAAAACCCTGACTCACCCAACCACTCAGCCCGACCTAACTCTGACCCTAACCTAGCCTTAGCTAAGCTAGCCCACCCTAACCTAACACGACCAAAAACAACCCCTCCCTACCCAAGAGACCCTATCGCAGCCAACCTGATCCCGACCTCCCCCAACCTCACACCTAACCCTCCATAACCTAACACAATCAAACGAAACCCTTCCCCACCAAAGAGACCCCAACGCAACCGGACTCCAACCCCAGCCTGACCCCACACCGCCAAGCTGATCCTGACCTAAGCTACACCCGAGGTTGCGCCCAACCCATCCCAACTCAAAGTGCCCTAACCTGACCTGATCGCGATCGTAACCCAACCAACCACAACATCCCACTTCGCCAACTAACCCCAACACCCCTCCCCTTAACACAGCCGGACCCTGACCAAAACACAACACCTGACCTAACCTGATCCAACATGGTTTCAGGGCCAGGGTCGCAGAAGTGTCCCCATGGGTTAGGCCCGGTTAGGCGGTATTCTGCGCTTACGGTTATGAAATTTGTTGTTACCAGCGCTTCCACCCCAGCAGGGGCACCTCTGTAGGATTCTGTGCTAGCAGGGACTTGCAAATAATTTACAAACCCGACCTAACTCCAAGGGAAGCCAAGGCAGCAGATGCGAGGATCTTGGTTACGAATGTTATGAACTTGATTTCTTGGTTAAGCAATCGATCTTTTTCGGTTATGAAAGTGTTTGTTTCGGGTCACCAAGATCAGTTTTTGGTTGTGTAAGCTTGCTTGGTTGAGCGATCGGTGTTGATCCCATGTCGGTCACACGCTGTGTTAGCTGGGTTGGGCCCGGGTGATGGCCGAAGGTTGAGAGAATCGCAGCTGTTCGTAGAGTGAGTGGATGTTTTATCATTGGGGCGTAACGCCTAGGAGCATCTCGGAGTTGAAGCTCTGGTTATCTCTGCGCAATATCGGCCACCGTTTACGTACCTACATTCTGGCATCCCATGTGCGCAGAGCCAGTGACACGAATCGAAAGTTGTTGGACATGTCGGCGACCACCACCGCTGCTGCAATCATGCGATGCCAGGCAGCCACCGGTGTGGGCCCATAGGCCAGGCTGTCACTGTGTTACTCAGGGTTTCGGCCAAACTGGGTTCAGACTGATGACGAGCTTTGCCCTCGATGCTGGAACCTTAGCTGCCAGTTTGCAAGAAGAAGCTGTCCCGGTCCCAACATGGTCCAAGCCTGTGCTGGCTTTCCTGCATCCTTAACTTCTGTGATCACATCTTCATGAAGGGCTTGTGGCCACGACCGAAGGGGGTTTGGATCTCGTCTACGGCCCGAGCCAACGGGATCCAAAGACTTTGCCGCGCTCAGGCTGTGGATGGCCACTCGTCCCTGTGTCTTTGTGAGAATCCGCGAGTAGTGACTAGGAGGAGCTCCTATTGCAACAGGTACCACAGTCTGCTTCAACAACATCAACAACAGAAGCAGATTTCTTTGGCCACACATGATTGGTCTCGGGCATGCTCCCCGATCCAGCCACGCCCAAGCATTAAATCCAAGGTGTGTCACAACTCAAAACACTATCAGCCCAACTGCTTTGCAAACATCTGGAAAGACTCCTTCACCTTCAACCTTTCACAACACCCCGTTGCCAGGTCTGCACAGGATCATGGTCGAGCCGTGATCGCCCCGCACATGGCACACGGCTCAAGCAGGCGCCGGGCTTTCGAAATCTTGGCTGGGCTGCACAGCTCTTGGTGAGCAGTTAAACATTCCCACAGCCGATCGTAGAGAAGGGGCGGCATCTTCTCATTGTGTTTGTACGTTCAGCTGTGCTCTGAGATGAACCTCGTTTGTCTCTATCATATATGTATATATATATATATATATATATATATATATTTAGGGGCTGCGCCCAGGTGCGGGCAGCGCGAGCTGTTGTCAGAAACCCGCGGTATATAGATAAGTGCAACGTAGAATCTCCGATCAGTGATTTGGGGTGGCAATCTTTTAATTTGGGGGGTTGATTTTTCGATCAGCGTTTTGGGGAGCAGACTTCCCACCTTCTGAAGCGACTTCCATGGCATGTTCCAGCCATATCGCATCCCTCCACCACCCCGGCATTGCAGCCGGCTTCTGTACTCAGGGTTCTATGTTTAATCAGTTCAAGCTCAAAAGCTTGGCATGTTGCAGCCATTGCGAAACCCTCCACCACCCCCGGTATTACAATCCGGGCTTCTGAGTTGAAAGGTTCATCTGAACAGTCATGCGTAAAGGATCCTGGCACGTCCCAGCCTACCAGAAGTTATGAGCCGTCAGGGGGAAATTGCACATGCAAAAACGAAGCTGCAAGTGAAGCTGCCAGTGCATCCTGCAAACAGGGCTTGCTCAGTTCAACATATTTTTCCAAGTGCAGCAACAGAAGAGTCAGAAGAGTCGTCCCTTGCGAGATATCCATGGCTAACGTTGCCGTTTGGCAAAAAAATAGCACCTAGGACCTAGCCCTTGATTGTCACCATGGGAGCACCAGCATTCCCTCCACGGCCGCCATCGCCGCCCTTTGGTGGGCGCTTTTTTCCTCCAGCCTTGGACTCAACAACATGTTGTGAACAAAGTTTCATCTCAGTCAAACTCGACGGTTTAAACTAAAGCAGTGCTTGCGAGAAGCCGGGTTGGGCTCCTCCATGTACGGCATCGGCGTCGCCTGATCAAAACGACGAGTGCACAGGTTGAAAGAATAAGGAGCAGGGGTCTAGAATTTGTTTATTGGAATCTTGCCTTAGCTTTCTTCCTGGGCTTCGTCTTGGTTTTTGGCTTAAGCTTCTTCACCTTGCCAGGTCCATCATCCTTTGGCTTCTCCTCCTCCTCCTCCTTCTCATCTTCTTTCTCATTGTACCATGTATCATCAGCTTCCCACTTATTCAATCTGCATTCCTTGTTCAAGCAGCTCCCGTCATCCTGGCGGCAAGAAATGCAACAGATAGACACAGGGCAGGCAGGGCAGTCACACTCAGGCCGGCCTTCCGGGTTTTGACGTAACAGAGCCTACACCATCCAAGGTCGTGGCGGCGTCTGTGTATGGGATGCTCTGGCGGAAAATTTCTCATCCAGGGCTGCTTCTGGCGCCAATCGTCGTGGGCCCAGCCGCCTTGCCAGGCCCTCTTTTTCCACCACTCGTCCTTATCCTCCTGGTCGTAGTCCGTTTTCAGCCACCCATCATCATCATCCTTTTTTTTGTCGTCACCCGTGGCCGTGTCCGGAAGCGGATCCTTGCTGGCCGCCGGCTCCACCTTAGCATTGTCTGCCGGAGCCTCGCCTTTTGCCCCATCCTCCTTACCATCATCCTTTTCCTCCTCCTTTTTCCCGGGCTCCGGAGCTGTCAGGGCCATCATTGGCGGCGGCGGCGGGGGGAAGGGTTCCGCCTTCTTTGGTGGCTCCACCTCGGCATCTGCTTTTCTTCCTCCTCCTCCTCCTCTTCTTGGTCCTCCACGGGGTGCTCTGGCTCCGGGGTCGGCTCCTCCCACTTGTCAGGCAGGCCTGAAACGAGGAGCTTTCGATAATTGAGTTCTGTATTTTTACAGGCAGTTTTCGAAATTGCTGAGGCCAGGGCCTAAGGCTGTGCTCAGAGCCCTTTGCACTGCACGAGTCAAAGTTCTCGTAATCCGTGCACCCTTGCCATGCGTAGGTCCTTGGGCAGGACGAAACTCCAAAGACGGCAGCACCTGAGATCGAACTTTACATACATGCAGACAAGCAGCGGTGCCACTTTCCGGTGCCCTTCCCAGATCCACGGCCTCGGCCTCCTTTGCCCATGCTGCTGCTGCTGCTTTACAGTAGGTTGTGGGACTTCGGGGCTCACAGCTCGGGCCACAGACTTCACAAGCAGTAGAGCTGCAGACCCCACTCCGACGAAAAACAAAACCCTCGCAAGATTGCAGATCAGTTCGGCGAAGCTACAACTTGGAAGCATGCGTTTTGCTGCTGCTTTGCTGCAGGACGTCTGCTGCCGGTGAGAAACGATGAACTTCTATGAAGCCCAAACCTTGCCATGTTTCAGGCAATGCCCGCCGTAAGCGAGGCTCGCTGACGACAAAACTACAGTCTGCAACTGCCCAGCAATATGCTCTGAAGTCTTATCATACCTTGGAGCCGAACAGATTCATAGCAAGAACAAAGACCCTATTGGGAAACAACAAGTAACTCGCTTGAGTATGTGGGGCAGCACAGAACCGTGCGGAGCAGCTTCAGCTCAACAACAAGGCCTTCTGTGCCGGCAGTACAATGTCAGCTGTCGTCAAAACCAAGGGGCGAACCGGAGTCAATCCGGTAACCGTCCAGCGACAGGTCCACTTCAGCCCTGTTCCTTTGGTCTCCCATTTCGATGGGGTCACTGCCAAGGCCAAGTTGCCCTGCGTGTACTTCGGCACACCGTTCTCCTGAGGCACCTGGTTCTCCTCGGGCAAAAAGACGACGTTGTGCTCCTGCAGAAACGGCACTTAGCTACTGCTCATGAACAAAAACCAGGGGCAATGTGCGGAAGGAAGCAAGTAGCAAAAAAACAACATTCACACGTTCAAGACAAAACACTTTCTTCAGATCGTAGTCGTCAGTCACACCAGGCTTAGGAGTCGTCTTGTGATAGGCCACCATGACCTCGCCGGCCCTTTGGTGATCTTTGAGAACCTGCTTCAGGTCGAGCACTTTGTTGTCGATCATGACCACGTCGTCGGTGGTCGTCAGCTCGAAGGGGATGTTCAGGACTCCCTGCTTGGGAGTCTGGGTCCATTTGCCTCGGCCGAAGGCAGCCAGCACCACGTGCTGGAGCACCGTCGCAGACTGGGAAGTCTTGTTGCAGATGTACATCGCACCATCCCTGAGCACGAAGTAGACTTGCTCAGTTTCTCCCTTTGCTCGCACAGCGTTTCCGATCGGCACCTGAAGGGTATTACATATCAAAAGCAACCCAAATCACAAAGACCCTAAAATTAAACCCGAAGCCCGTCGTTGCTGGCCTCCTGCAGCAATGTTCCTTTCATGTCATCCAAGCCGACAAGGTCGCTGTCCTCAATCTTGAGCTTCTTGGCTTGGCTCCCCGAAGAGCCTGCGGGTGAAGGCCGCTTGTTGACTCCTGCTTTGGCCTGAGCTTTTGCAGCTGCCTTGAGTTCTTCCAGCGTGCCGTACTTGTCAGCCAACTGCTGCTTCAAAGTCTGAAACTCATCCTTGAAAATCGGGTGGCTGCACCACTTGCGAATGTCGACTTCGGAAAAGCTGAGCAGGACCGGCACATCATTGTCATCCTTCCAGCATAATAAACAATAGAGCCGAACAACAACAGTAAGAATTACATTATATACACATGACATATTAAAAGTCGAAGCTCCTTGCCGTAGACCAATCGTTTCAAAGGTGGAGCCGCAGGCTCCACGAGTGCCGTCGCCGGCACCTGTTTTGGGCGCCTAAGTTCGCAGCAAGCATGGCATCGAGACTTCAAACAGCGAATGAGCCCTGGTGCCGAGCGTGGCATCTTTCAGCCAGGCAAGCTTGTTTGAATGATGGCATATTGCAGCCAGAGTGACGGGCAAAGTCATTGATTGCTTCATTGGCATTATTGCAGCGAGAAGAGTCAAATTCAACCAAAGATTCATCTGCCGTGTTGCTTGGCGAAGCCAGGGACCGAGAATGTGCCCTCCAGGTACTGGTCGACCAAGAGGGACTTGTGCGTGGTCTCAAACCACTCCTGGGACGTAGCATCCGGAAGCATGGCGGTGTAGTGCAGTGCGTGGTTCGAGGTCTGCTGCAGCTGAACGAAAGCTTGCCACATGTTGCCCACGTCCGGCACCAAGTCGAGCAAGTGCACCAGCATCGTGCTCGGGATGTCGACGTTCTCCTGGTTTGCGGCAGCTACGACTCAGGACTGTCGGGTTAGACGGTTAGACCGCCAACTTCAGCAAAAACTATAAAGTCAAGTTTCGAACAGGCTCGAAACCAGGGCGGAGCAGGCGTCTTTGCCGAGCTGAGCATACTTCGCGGCTCCTTTCAGGGGAATGTCCCCAGTGACACTAGGCAGGGTGCTCTGGTCGATCATTTCGATGCGAAGCATTTGCCCAGCTGGAAGCTGCTTGGCTGGGTTCGTGCGGCCCTTGACTAACAGAGAACTTTTCTTCCACAGCGACTGAGGCGGCGTTGCGTGGACAGGCGGCACCATCAGCAGTCTTCCGTGGTAGTTCAGAGGTCGCTCGTCTCTGGCATCCTCGTTTATTCTCAGACACGACAACAAACACAGCTGCATATTGCTGTTTTGCAAGTCAAGTTGCCACTCGGTCGTCGAAGACGAGCGAAAACGTGTGGTCTGTGACGAGATTGATGTTTGCGATGCTCTTCATCACAGCCTGTTCCTCTGACCATCTGCCGTTTTTTTTTGTGAGAATAGATTGGAAGTAGGGCAAGGCCGACGTTTTCCGGGTGCTCCGCCATCACATGCTGCATCAAATTGATGGATGCTGTAAAGTGCTTCGCGGCAATCAAGCAAGGAGCCGTGTAATTCGCGAAAACCACGGAGACCTCGGCTGAAGATATCTATAGCTACAGTGCAGGTGTCTACAGATGCATTTGCAAAACAAGCCTGAAGCACCATGAATTTCTATCCGGTCACTGCGGCTTGGGTGTGGTGTCGCTGGCTGACAGCAGCAATGTCAGTCTTTGTGTTCGCGATTGCCACCGCTCCAGCATCCTTCTCATCCCAGACTCGCAAGGATGCCTCAGCTTCACTTTCTGGACCAGGTCGCAGCGTGCGATTTAACTGCAAAAACACTCTGAGGTATTGCAGGCGAGTCACATATTGTTCGAAGTAGGCATCAACGGCCTTGCGGGCATCAGCCAGGAGCTCCTTCTCATGCTGCAGCTGTTGGTTACGAACAGAGACCAGGTAGTTCTCCTTGTTGCTGCGATGCACCTCGAAGGCTTTCATGTCCCACTCCACTTCGGATTGCATGGCCTCAAAGGTCTTCTGGTCCAAGTTCTTCTGGCAAACATCGAGTTCGCTCGCGGCCCCCATGCTGCCTGTCCCTGGAACTTTGAGGCTTGCAGCATCAATAATCTTCGCCAAGCCTTGTAACACTGGCCAATGAAACAGTTTTTTTTCTGGCAAGCAGCACAAAACCCAACTATGCCTATCATATATGTCTGGCTCAGGAGCTCGGGGCGTTCCGGGGCACGAAGTTGTCACTCTTGTTCTGCAGGGCTGAGGAAAGTTCCACCTCCATCATCGGGTCGGCTTGGCGAACCCGGGCAGTCCACCTTGAATCGGGCGATGAGAGCAAGAAGCACGTGATGCTGTTTGATGACAATGGAAGCAACTGGGATCACGAACGGACCAACGGAGTTTACAAGCCAGGAGGCTCCGTATCAATCCGGCTCTGCAGATCCGGAAGAGCCTGCACCACTTCATCCGCCAAAGCCGCAGCGAGTGCACCTGGGAAAACTGACAAGTCTCTTGTACTGGTGTTGTGCTGCAGCAGCAGCAGCAGGGGTAGCAGCATGCAGTCGCCCTGCCAAGGCACACAACTGCGTTCGCTCCTCCAGGTCTTGCTTTGAGGGTTTTGTCCGGAGAGCTTTGGGCGAGTTCAGGAAATTGTTCACCACGGCTTCCATCGCGAGAATGGCGCTTTTCTTCGTGACGGTGCCGTAGGCATTGTTCCATTTGGACTGTCGCGGAGCTTTCGTTGTCCGGAAGACGTAGTTGGGAAGCAATTTTCTGGAGCTCAAGTTGTCGTCTGTAAAAGGAGAGCCTGGTCAGAATTGACTTATGAACTAGCAGCAGGGAGGCGATTCAGAACTAAGACTTCATAGCCGAAGGCGAGCCTGCCCAGCCCATGTCGTTGGCAGCCTTCAAAACGACAGTTCGCATCTCCACCGGCATATCGAGGAGATTCTTGACCGTGTAGTATTTTCCGCCCTGCAATTTGTCGGCCCTTGTGCTCGTCGAGTTCCACAGGTTAATGACCGACGAGCTATCTCCACTGAGCGAGGTCAAAGCATAGACCCAGGTGATTGGGCTCGGAGGTTCTCGGATCGAGCCCCGAGAAGCGATCTTGAAGTTGTAAAACCTCGGCAACTTCGCAGCAGGCCCTGCTTGCCACGAACAATGGGTGCGGAGGGAGTTTAGCGGCCGCCAAGCAACAACTCGTCCGTCTCGTTGCTGAGGTGGATGGCTTTGCGCTGGATCTCTTGCAGGCTGGACAAAAAGCTTCGGAAAAACCTGTTGGCTGTGATCGAGAGGTGTGCCAGGGACCAACAAGAAGTTACCGTGGGTATCTGCTTGGACTATTTAAAGGTCCAGAACCCACAAGCCTCGCAGATGTCAAGGCCCTCCTTCATCACCCAGGCCAGGCAGGCCATCAGAGTCACAACACGGCTGTGGCCCTTGAGGTACAGGATGTCGAAGTTCGCGACAGGGCCATGTCTCGGACCATTTGCCTTAGAGCGGAGCAGAAGCCTCCTTCTATGTGTGAGACTTAATGGCATATTCCAGCCAGTTTGGCGCTGATATCTCAGCCCAATGACAAGATTGCGGCACTCTGGGGCCGAGGCCGCCTTCCGAATCAGAACGGGCTCCAGCTTCGTCAAGAAACCGTCCACATGATACTGATCAACGAGCAGCATGGCCTTGTGCAGCTGGACGGGCCCATTGCGGCTGCAGTTCTCAAAGGCAAACTTCTGAATCTCCACCGTCAACACCGGGGCCTGGTCCTCCTGGCCTCGGTCTGCTCCTTGCCATTTGACGTAATCATCGAGGTAGTCGACGGCGTGGTTCCTGCCGACCTGGGTCTCGAGCCAGGCAGCGAACTCGTCTCGACTGGACTGCAGGGCCAAGCGTTCGGACAAAAAGTTCCCGGGGCTGCCATAGCCTCGACAGAGATATCATGGAACAGGGCACAATTAATTCACGAAGCCTCCGTGCTGCCTAAGAGCCTGCGAAGCAGTCCTTCAACAGCTTCAAACTGTCTTCCTGGTCCTCCACAGGTGGTGCCGTACTGGTCGGTGCCACGGAGAATGCATCCATCATCGTTTCATCTGCAGGACCCTCCGTGGGATCTTGCTTCAACAGCTCGTCCACGGCAGACAGCTGCTGCTGCTCGGGGTTTGACATGTCTGTCCAAGCAAAGCTTCAAAGAAGCAGCGAGGTTCGGGTGCTGTCTGCGACGGAGCTGGAAAGCTGCAGGACCCAAAGGGATCGTCATTCGCTGCTTAAAATGATCGACACCCCAAATTAAAAGATTGCGCCAATCGTTAGAATCCTTCCAACTACAGGTCAAATTTCGTGACCTCGAGTTAGAACGGTTTCATTTGACATCGTTCCTTTGCTTATTGTTGATTCAAAATCCTTCTAACTCCTGGTTGCGTTTCGGAAGATAGAGTTGGAAGGATTTGGTTTTTTAATAAAGAGATAGAACGGTTTCAAATGAAACCGTTCCTTCTCCGAGTCAAATTTCGTGACCTCGAGTTAGAAGGATTTTGAATACAAAAGCGTTGGCAAAAGCGTTGGCGGATTCAATGCTTGGCAGAAACAATCAGGTAATTTGGGCAGGGAGATAGAACGGTTTCAAATGAAACCGTTCCTTTTTCCAGGTTTTGAGCGTTTTGAGAAAATATTGCTCTAGCCGGGACAATCAGCGTATTTGGGCGTTTGGCCGGCCCGGCCGGCGGGAGCTCAGTTCAAGGTGTCATCCTGGTACTTTGCTGTGTCCTAAACCCTGGAAAAGGGAAAAGATAATCGCTTCTTTTTTTCTCACTGTGATTCGCAGATCTCCGATTGCACTTCCTGTAGCTTCTACTCGCAACACTCCGTGTCCGGGTGCTTTATGCGATCGTAATAAAAGCGGTCTCGGTCATCCAGAAACTGCACAAAATAGGCTCGTGCACAAAAGGCACAGAGCCAGTTCTTCTGGATAATGCCTATGCAGGATCTGACCTCATGTCTTGGCTTATGCAAGAGCCCGCTCAGTATCAGGGCCTGCTCTTCTGCAGTCGGACTCGGTGTAGTCGCCGTGCTGCTAGCTGACTGCATTGGAAGCGGCGAAGTAGTCGTCGTGCTGGTAGCTGCCTGCAGTGGAAGCGGCGAAGTAGTCGTCGTGCTGGTAGCTGACTGCAGATTCGGCGGCACAGGCAGCTGCATGATATGTTATGGTAGCTCGAGACCGCAAGCAAAATTTCCATCCGAAAAGCTGCGACAGAGTAGCAGCTTCTGGGCAAGACATCGTCTGAAGCAAACTGTTTCTAGGGTTTAGGGTGTAGGATATTCAGAGTTTAGGGTCTAAAAGCTTTCGGCCTGAAGCCATGCACTCACAGCTCACACGACAAATAGCAAAGGCCAAAGCACAGCCCTTTTACTTTGCGGATAGCATGCCCAAGTCAGTCAGTCATTATTCGGCTCATTATTCGGCTCTTGCGACGGTTCAGCTTCAGAATTCGCAGCCCGCCATGCTGCTCGCCGAGCTGCTTTCTGGACGTCCTCCATGTTCCAGTAAGCGGCGATGCAGTGGATGCAGTAGTGCGATCCGTGTCGCTCTTTGGTGCGGCCGCAGATGCGACCACAGTCGCAGCGCCCCGAACAAGGATTCTCACTTTGGTAGCGGCGGGAGCAAACATTCCCCATGATAGCTGCAAGCAGCTACGGCCTTGTCAAGTGATCCTAGAGCCAACAATCTGCCAGGGACAGGCATGACCTGCCACATCAAACAAAACAACTGCAGCAACTTGCAAACACTACGGAGCCCACTCAGCTGTTACAGCAGCAGCATCACAGGACTCAGAACCAAGAGCAGTGGACCTGGCACCAGTCGCAGATCGAGGACAGAAGCGTTCGCTCACTCTAAAGCTGCAAGCGGGCCACAACAAACAAGATGTTCTGAAGACAGATTCGGAAAATCCTTTTCTTGCTTCTGGCTCGCAGGACCCGTGTCGGATCTAGGCCTCGACCTCGTCTGAGTCAATGGCTTCTTCAAGACAAGCGATGACATGTTTCAGTCATCCTGGCAGATAAGAACCAGAGAGCCCGATACTTTTCTGGATAGCACATCCAGCACCATCCCTGGCAGAATCACCTCCGTTTTAGTGTGCCAAAACAAGGACCTCCTGTTAGACTGTTCTGTAGTCGGTGTGGGGTTTGGGACACGAGGCATTGCTGCTCAGGTGCTGGGATGTGTTAACCCCCAAGACCTTTGAAAACTTGAACCTCAGCTGCCCTCACTGTCCGCCACGGCGTCCGCCACGACCGCCGCCTGCACGACCACCGCCGGCACGACCGCCGCCACGACCACGACGACCACGTCCATCGCCTTTGGCTGCTCCGGCCGCTTCCGGAGCCACAGGCGGTGCTGGCGCTGCAACTGCATTGGCTCTTCCACGACCGCCGCCTCGAGGAACATAATCTGGGCGGCGGCATTGACGACATCCCATGGCAGCGTAGCGGCACTTGCCACAGCCCAACTGCCGAGGCACTGCACCTGCCTCTGGGTTGGGCACTGCTACCGGCGGTTCCGGTTCCCTGGGAGCAGGTGCTGCAGCTGGACCTTCTGGTGGCGGTGGTGGTGGTGGTGCTGCTGCTGCTGCCTCTGCGACAGCAGCGGCTGCTCGGCGCTTGCGTCTTGCATTGTCCCTGGCCGTGACCGCAATTCTGTCAGCGTCTGCTTCTGCAGCAGCCGATACCAAACGAACTGGCCCAGGAGCGTACTGTTCCCACCTCAGTCGTTGCAGCAGCAAGGAAACAAGGCCCCTGCAGCATGCACCAAAGCAACAAACTAAAAGGAAAATCACCCACTGAGAAAATGGCCCAGCAGGACTGGCACGTCGCAGGTCCACTTTCTGATCATTCCAAATCCATTGGAAAGGCTCAAGCTCGTCCAACACAGCCCTCTCGTTCCGGTCAACCCAGTCCAGCAGGTACTGCTTCGCAGAGTGCAGGTTCCAGGGGTCGGAGCCGAAGACATTTGCAGCCTTGCGAAACCTGAGTTGGAACAAGGGTTTCTTTGAGTGCAGAAGCATCGGGATCCTGGGACTAACTAAGTCTTGGCTAAGAACTTCGACCTCGTGCCGCACTAACTGCTTTCTTGGAAGCTCCTCGCGAGCCCTTGCAGGCAAAGCATTTCGCTTGTGCACTTTCAGCGGCACATCATCGAGACGGCTGAGGAATGCAGCCGGCAGGATGCAAAGTGGGGCCTGGGACAAGTCTGGGCTGGAAACCCACTCTTTCACCAACAGCACGGCGTCGTCCTCGGATGCGGGCACGTCCTGCAGCGAAGCTCCCAGATGAGAAAATTCAGCCTTCACAGAAGAGTATTGCTTGACTGTTGGTGCTTCGGACAGTCCTCACGAAGCTCCTTCACGGTCCAGGAGCTTTCAGTGTGCCGATCATACTGTGCCAGATCCTCGCTGTTTCCGAGGGTCGCCAAAGTATAACTTCAGAAGCAAGCCCGATGAGAAGGACTCCTACATCTCTTGAGTGCAGAGCGAGTTTCCGCTCGCCTCACGAACCTCCAACAGTGCGTGGTGTGGAGGACATGTGCTTTGGGGTTCGGAGTCAGCCCGGCAACGGTAATGCCAAGCTCGGAGAAGTAGAGCTTGAAGTCGAAGCTCCCCTTCATAACCTTCAAGATCATGGTCCGCCCTCTGGCCGGGTGCACGTTTTTTTCGATGCAGCGGATAAAGTCCTTGAATGCAAGGATGCAGCAGCAGTACGACCCTTGCACTGGACAACCGATGACTGTTCAGTGCCCATTGATCTGCAAAACAGGAGCCAGGGGAGTCTCCAGCGTCGCGGCCTGGCTCAAAGCCGTTGATACGATGCTGAACCTCTGGTCCAGAGGGCCGTGCGTGTGGCCCACTGGCCCGAAGATGTGCGAGATGGACCGGAATCTCGGTAGTGCAGCATGGTGCACGAATCCCTGCAGCAAAACCTTATTAAGCAACTCAGTTAGGGAGCTCGTCATAGCTCGTCCTTCTTCATTGTTGAAGGACTGGTGGAAATACAAAGCAACGTGTGGCATGTCACAGCCAAACATCATAAACCTTCAAAGCAGCACAAGGAAACGAAGGCATCGCCAAGATGCTTTTTCCGGGCCACTGCCCAGGACGACATCATAACCACATGTTGGTTCTTGCCCTCTCGGCAAGTGTTGTCCGTCTGACACAGGCTGCAACAAGCCAAGAAAATTACAGGCATACAACGGACAAGCAGCCTCAAAAAGCCTTACATGAGAAAGGTGTGACAACCAATCCGGCCTCGACAACCAAGTGGGGCGGAAGCCCCAAGCCTCGCTTGGACAACTCGCCTTGTGCCTGGTCGAGACCCTCGCAAAGGAGCGAGATTTCGTTGCTCGAGTCTTTCGGTGAGTCCGATTCGAAGAGGAAGTAGCACTCGCAAACCTGAGTCGACTCAGCAAAACCCCTTCCTTGCCATGTGAAGAGACAGCAAGTACACCTTTTGCCATCAAGTCTCTCCCCAGACCAGGCAGCCTCCCAAGTGAAGCTGCGGTCTCCAAAGAGACTCCAGCGACTTCGAAGACGACGTGTTCCGTGGCACTTTGAACTTGGATTGATCACAAAAGTCCACGTCGACTTTTAGCAAGCCCGAGGCGTTCTCCGAGGAGTCTCTGCATGACCCTTCGCTCATGTGCGAGTAGCGAGTCTGCACACACCGATACTCCTTCACCAGTTGCAGGTGATGTCGCTGGGCCTGTAGAATCTTTTCCATCTCATCTGACACCGTGCCCTTGGCCGACTTTGCCCTCACCGAGAACTCGGCACAAGTGGGGCACGTGGCAAATCTGCGACTGGAAACTGTGCTCGACAAAAATGGCATGCTGCGGAACTCAGACTCCGACATCCGATGCTTCCAACTAGCCATGAATCTCACACACTACTTTCATTGCAATCCCGACATTGAAAATTGCACCATAGCAGCAGGCGAACCTGGCGTGCTGGGACAATTTGCGAAATGCCAGTGCTCCCCTCTCGAGCCACACTGCGAGAACTCTGCGGAAGGTGGCGAAGGAGCTCTTTTCCTCCTGCGACCAGATCTTGTATTCCTCGTAGAAGGACGTGTAGGTCCTCCACCCCAAGTACCGCTTCTCCCGTAGGCCTGGTCCTGCC